CATCTCCGGATGATCTTCTCTACCGCAACGTGGAGAGATTATGGCAGCTAGATGTTCTACCTTATCGCAGTGAGAAACTGGTAGTATGGTCCAGAGCAGATAATGAAGCTATACATCTGCTTGAGTCGCAAACTCAGCATGTGGAAGTCGAAGGAGTGCGGAGGTATGCAACCCCTCTCCTGTGGAAATCCAATGCTCCCAAACCTAAAGGCTGTATGCAGGCGGTCCTAGCAAACCTGGGGAGCACAACAAAAAGACTTCAGAAGGACCCCGAGAAAGCCTCAGTCTACTCAGGTGAAATGGACAAACTCATTGGAGCAGGGTATGTAACCAAACTGAGCCAGCAGAACTCGGACCAAACAGAAAGAGGATGGTACCTGCCCCATCATCTTGTAACCCACAACGACAAACCGAGACTCGTATTCAACTGTTCCTTTCAATATCAAGGACTGTCTCTGAATGACCAGATGATTCCCGGCCCTACTCTTGGGCCATCCTTGTTGGGGGTTCTCATAAGATTCCGGCAGAATCATGTCGCTGTGAGTGCGGACATTAAGGGCATGTTCCACCAGATCCGACTTCTGCCTAGTGACAGACCCTATCTTCGGTTCATCTGGAGAGATCCGAGGACCGAAAGCACCCTAGAGGTGTATGAATGGCAAGTTCTGCCATTTGGCACCACTTGCAGTCCCTGCTGTGCCATCTTTGCTTTACAACAGCATGCATGTAATTCAGAAGCTGAATACCCAGGTATGCATCAGATTGTGCTACAGAGCTTCTACGTTGATAATCTCTTGTCAAGTTTCCCCACAGAAGAAGCAGCTAAGCAAGCTGTGGAACAACTACGCAGTATGCTCGCAGAAGGAGGGTTTGACCTACGCCAGTAGGCCAGCAGTCATCTGACGGTGATATCACACCTACCTTCCGAGGCCCGTTCCTCAGCAACAGAGCAATGGTTAGCTCACAACAGTGCTGATCTAACAGAACCCACATTAGGGCTCAGATGGAACTGCTCCTCTGATACTCTTGGCTATCATTATCGGCCCATTAAACATGCCACACTGACGATGAGAACAGCTTATCAGGTATTGGCTTCTCAGTATGATCCACTGGGGTTCATTTTGCCATTTACCACCAGAGCAAAGGTGATTATCCAGCAATTGTGGACAAAGAAAAGAGATTGCAATGACCCAGATCTACCAGCTGATCTGTGGGCTGTTTGGACAAATTGGGAGAGCAAGCTTGACAACCTCAGTACGATTTCCATTCCCCGCTGCTATGTACCAGTTTCTTCAACTACAGCTGAACTACATAGTTCACTTCATGTCTTCTGTGATGCTTCAGAGAGGGCTTATGGAGCAGTGGCCTACCTAATAGTTCAGTCTAGCTGTGACACTCATGTTTCCTTCATAATGGCAAGGTCAAGGGTTGCTCCCAAAAGACAACAGTCTGTGCCTCGTTTGGAGTTGTGTGCTGCTTTAGCTGGAGCTCAGCTAACCAAACTGATACAGGATGAATTGAGGATCCACATCAACCAGACAGTCCTTTGGACAGACTCTATGACAGTATTGGAGTGGATTCAGTCAGATTCCTGTCGCTATAAGGTGTTTGTCGGCACTCGAGTCGCCGAAATTCAAGAATTGACAGACCACAAAAACTGGAGATATGTCAATACTCAGGACAATCCAGCAGATGACATAACAAGAGGGAAATCTCTTCTCAGTCTGCCCGCACCAAGTCGTTGGAGTCAGGGGCCTGCATTCTTGAAACAGAGCTCAAGACACTGGCCTAGAGCACCTGAAGTCACACTATCGGAAGGAGTGTCAGAACTCAAGAAGGTAGCTTGCTATCACCTGCAAGTTAAACTCTCTACATCATGCCCTGATGTCACCAAATTCGATACCTGGCAGCAATTAGTGGAAGCGACTAGGTCCGTTCATCAAGGAGAAGCCACATATGACTAACAGAGAAGCAGAAGCTATTCTGATCAGAACATGCCAGGCCCAGAGCTTTCCAGAAGAGATATCAGCCCTCAAGGCGAAGAAACCCATCCCTGCACAGAGCAGGTTGAGCAGTCTGGCTCCAGAATGGGATTCGTTCACCAACATGTTGAGAGTTGGGGGACGATTAAGAAGACTTGCAGGTGCAGATGAACAACAGATCCATCCTATAGTTTTGGATCCACAACACCCTATAACGAAGCTTATCATTAAAGACTTTGATCAACGTTTGCTGCACCCGGGGGCAGAGAGAGTTTATGCTGAAATACGGAGACAGTATTGGATCCTGAAGGGCCGTCAGGCAATCAAGCATCATCAACATAGCTGTCTCCTTTGCCAGAAATGGAGAGCTCAGCCAAAGGTTCCTATAATGGCCGATTTACCACCAGAACGCCTTCGTCTGCTCTGTCCAGCATTCTATTCGACAGGCGTTGATTGCTTCGGCCCCTATCTGGTCAAAGTAGGCAGGAGGAATGAGAAACGTTGGGGTGTAATATTTAAATGTCTCACCACACGAGCGGTGCATGTTGAACTCCTTAACTCTATGGATGTTGATGCCTTCCTGCTCGGACTCCGCCGGTTCATAGCCAGACGAGGCAAACCTAAGGAGATGCTCTCAGACTGTGGTTCCAACTTTCGGGGTGCAGAAAGGGAATTAAGGGAGGCTTTCATTAGTATGGAGCCTGACCTTCAGGCACAGCTTGCAACCTATCAGATCACCTTTAAGTTTAATCCACCCGGTGCTCCACACTTTGGGGGGATTTGGGAACGGGAGATCCGCTCATTGAAGAATGCGCTCCAGGTAGCGGTTGGAACTCAAGCAGTTACAGAAGATGTTCTCTATACTGTTCTGGTTGAGGTTGAGGGGATCCTCAATTCGAAGCCACTAGGACATGTTTCCACGGATGTTGCCCGTTACTCCTAATCTTCTCCTTATGGGGCGGCGGAACGCCTCACTTCCTCAAATGGCATACGCTCCAGCAAGGATGGGTCGGAGGAGATGGCGTCATTGTCAGAACCTGGTGGATCAGTTTTGGATACAATTCACTAGGAACTATTTGCCTACACTGCAAACACGGATGAAGTGGCAGAAATTGTCAGAGAACCTATCCCTGGACTCTGTTGTACTGATCGTGGATCCTCGGCTTCCTCGGGCTCAGTGGCCGATTGGCAGGGTTCGAAAGACTATACCCAGTCACGATGGATGCGTCAGGACTGTGGAAGTAGACATTAATGGTAAAACCTATGTTAGGCCTGTAGCTCGTCTGATCCAGTTGCCTGCGATTGGGGGTGGTGAGGATACTTAAGATAATTCACTGTTACCCATTTGCCTTTCAAATGTAGGGGCGGCTGTTGTGAATTATATCCTTACCCTATGTTTGTTAGGTCTTGCTTCTTTAAGGGGTGTGGCTTCGCGGTGATTGACATTGTATGTTCTGAGTAATGGTTGGCTCTGTAGTATGGAGACATACGTAGCTTGCATGTGAGGAGTTCCCTTTCTTGAGAAGAAGTTCTTGACACGTAAGTGGATAGCGTTAGTTAGCGATAGCGTTGCATATTGAGCTGTTTATCTCGCCGTGTGAATACGTCAGTTTCCTATTAGTGTTGCAGCAATCTCACACATAGTAATCGGCATTAGCATAGCCACGCCTGAAATTAGCTTTAGTGCATTCTGGCTGAATTTACTGTTACGTAGTACTTATGAATGTGATGCAGTTTAGTGCTAAATGTTGGCGAGCTGTTGAACTTATGTACGCCTTATATTCTTTATGTGTTGCAGATGACTGATATGTATGCTCTCAAGAAATAAACAGTCATGGTTAATCTGATGACTCGAGACTCTCTAACCGGAGTACTGTAGCGGTCAAGCCTGGTATTGCAACCACCACCTCACTAAATCTTACAGAATCAGCATCCATACAATAATAAAGACCAGGAAAACAAGGTATGGATGCTGATTCAGCATCCATACAACAACAATAATAATAATAATAATAATAAAGACCAGGAAAACAAGGTATGGATGCTGAGTCAGCATTCATGCAATGAATAAAATCAAGAGAGATTCTCTGGTTGACAGTGGCATCCACAGTACTGCTGTTGTATTAGCAGCAGTACTGGTTTTTGCATTTGAGAGTAGTAGTAGTGGAAGTCATAGTACCATGCAAAGCTCTGTAAGCTGCGCCCAAGCAAGTTGAGTCGGACATGTCGATGGTGTAGACTGGAGCATTGAATACATCCGACAGAACCTGAGGAGACCAGTGAGAATTCATATTACACATTTGTTAACGTCCAAAAATAACAACAGCAGCTCGTTTGGGTCGGCTAAGAAAGCGTCAAATAAATGGCTCAACTATCTGCGTCAGAACTTTGAATGGCTTCTATCAGTTGTTACTATGCTAACAACCATGCTAATGCACTGCTAATAACACATGCTCATAAACTATACTAATGACTTATATTATTACCCTATAATTAATTATTCCAATAATCTATGATAACAAACTATGGTAATAAACTACCCAATTTACTGATAAACTATGCTAATATACAAATATAAATACTAATAAACTATGCCAATGAATAATGCCAACAAACTACACTGATAGCATACACTGTTACCTACGCTATCAAATAAAGCTAAGACATTAAAAATGCTAACTATACTAACAGCCTATTCTAATAAACTGTGCTGACAAATGACACCAAGAAACTGATGGCATCATCAAAGACCAACCTGTAGAACCGCGTGATTGGATGAAGCTCCTCCTGTGGCCAAAACTCTGGTTCCCGGAACTGAAACAGGACAAATCAACAGATAAATGTCTCCTGGTTTACCAGGGGCAAACACTCACAGCTAGTTTAGTTCATACCTCCTTAGAAGGGGATGAACAAAAGGAAGAATGAAAGGAAGAAAGAAAGAGAAGGAAGGAAGGAAGTACCAGGTCTTACCAATGCAGTATCCGAGTCTCTCAGCGTGGACTCTCCTGGACAGGAACTGCCCCTCAACCAGAGCCCGGACCTCCACCTGAGGACTCAGCCAGGACACCTGCAGGAAAGGGGTGACTTCTGAGACAAGTGACAAAGTTTGGACATGTGAGACAACTGGAACGTATGACAGGTGGGACCGACCTTGTTGTCATCCCCGTCGAATCGGTGAACTCCTGCAGCAGAAGGTGTGATCTCCAGATTGTCAAAATAAAAGCCTAGAAAGAAAAATATCAACCAATCAGGATGGATAATAGGAAATAAGGAGGCGAGAAGTGAAGGATGAAAAAGGAAGGAATATGATGAAAAAAGAAGAAATAAAAAAGGTGAGGAACAAAAGGAAGGAAGGAAGGAAGGAAAGAAAAAAGAAGCAAAGGAGGTAAACAAGGAAAGAAGGAAAAAAGAGAAAGGGGAGGAAAGATGAAGAAAGAGAAGAAAAGAGGAGCAAAGACAAAAAATGAAGGACGACAGGACTGGTCACCGATGCTCCCGTTGTTTCCGAGTGGCGTCTCCCTCAAGGCGGTGGAAAAAACTTCCCATGACCCTTCAGCGCATTCATTCCTTATTCGCTCCCTCGTCAATGATCCATTCTTAAAGCTGCAGACAATGTTTAGTTAGCTGTTAGCTACATTAGCTGCCCAACTATACTAAGATAACAGTGTCTAGTTAGCTGTTAGCTACATGATCTGTCTTTCCACCAAACTCTGCTCACTTTTCTTTCAGTATGATACAATCTCATATAATGTTTTTACACACTCCTGCTAACAATACCAAGAAGGCTCAGGTTTTCTTTCCACCAAACTCTGCTCACTTTTTGTTGCAAAGCTGGAACGTTGTTACAAAACAGGAACATTTCATACCATAGCAGGGCCATGTACATGTCCTGGTCCACGGGATTGCAGAAGATGTGTCCTTCCAGAGCTGGACGGGGCTGCTGGATCCACAGAAATACTGTGTCGCTGGTCCCCAGACTCATCTGGACACACAAATATCCAGATGAAAGACACAATGTAGACTCTGTGGACACAAGATTCTGGACTGGTTTTATACAACTTACAGCAACATCACCGGGCTGGAGGCTCATTCCTGCCAGAGATGCTGATAAAGACAGAAAGATGCATCCTTCCTGTTAAATGTCCACACTGTGTTAAAACATCGTTGATTTGCTAAAATTGGTGTGAATTTCCTTTTGCATTTTTATGAACATTTGGTGGGTTGTATGATAATTTTGGACATTTTAATGAGAAATGTTTGCATTTCTATGATAACATTTTGCATATATAGTATATGACAAATTTGTGCTTTTGACAATTGTTCATATTATTATTTCTTTTGTATACTTGAGAATTTTTTGACAGTTTTTGTCCTTTTATGACATTTGAATTTTTATGAGACATCTTTGTGTATTTATACATTTATTTGTAGTTTGACAATGTTTTTGCATTTTCTGATAAATTCTGTGTTTTAAAGACTTACACTTTGACTGCCCTGTCTGGAGCTGTAAACTCCCCCAGTCCACTTGTTAACTGTGACCCAACATTCCACTTCCAGGTCCAAACTCCCCCAGACCCAAACCTCACAATAACATCTTTTTTGTGAGGTTTCACAAAAGAAGGAGAATGAACCCAGGTTTAGACTTGAGAACTGAGTGTTAACTCAGAAAGTCCCCACATTGTTCACTCCTACCTGGGTTGTCTCCGGTGAATGCAACCACCCTGCAGCTCTCAGAGAAACTGTATCGATGAACAAAGTAGGATGAGATGGGACCCTGCAGGACAAAAAAGCTGTGGTCAGACCCAGTCACCATGATAACAGTTATAAACAAAACCAGTATGGACCAGTTGTACCAGTACAGACGTGGATGGCAGCGGCGCTCCCAGGAGTCGCCCTAGACCTGGAGCGGTGGCGTCCAGGAGGATCTGAGACCAGGTCTTGGTCCTGATGTCCAGCAGATTCATCCCCGAACCTGTATTGAAGTAAAAGTATTATTAAAGCATATAAAGTAAACACTGAAGGAATGAAGTTCTGGAGCTCAGTAAGGGAACTAAAAAAATGCTCAGGTTTGACTTAAATTTGTTCAGAAAATGTCATAAAAATGTAAAAAAGTCTAAAATACAAACAGCTGTCACATAAATGCAAAAATGGTATGAAAACGCAAAAACCCTGCTATTACGATGCATCAACATGTCACTAAAATGCAAAAAGTAAAAAATGAAAGAAAAACAAAAAAATGTAAATAATTTTTAAACAGCCATAAAATAAAAAAGGTAAAAAATGATAAAAAATCATTAAAAAACACCAAAACATTAAAATTGCCATAAAAAGGACAAATATGCAAAAAATGTGGGGGCTAAAAACATGGTAGTCTCCTCGCTCCTCACAGCAGATATAAGACTGCCAGGTGTCCATTTCCACCACATCCGACATTGCTTCAGACTGAAGAACAGGTTGCTTATAACGGCAGGTGACCATTAATACGACTTGGCTGTAAGCGCTGTACAAGCGTCCATGGTCAGAAACACCTTTTCACCTGCGGAGCTCACATGCATTATCATCACACAGTTTATCTGGTCGTGCTGTGACCGTTTCTCGTGATGGCTGAAGTCTCTGCTGTTTGTATTTGGCGCCGTAGTAAAATGAGATGTTGACCTTGTTATCGCGCCATTTCCAGGTGTTAAAGGGTGGGAAAACAGCGGCTCTTTGTGTTTAACGACAAAACCAAAGTCACATGGAATATTAGATTTTTAAAACTTAATGACTATTTGGAAATCACTGCCCATCCCTAGCAGACATGTCCCCAGAAGTGATATCATCAAAGTGAAGAAGTGATATCATGAGCGAATGAATGCAGGAGTTGGTACTGGACCGTCACTGTAGTCGATGGCGGCGTAATCACCGAGGAAGAGGGAGGCAGCAAAACTGCTGACCAGTGAGATCCTCTGAAAGCACACATATGTCATCACATCAGACATGGTCACCACTTTGCTAAAAATCTCCGCTTTGCTAAAACAACCCCCTTTGCACCTCTGTGTCCTTGTATGCCTGTGGACGACTCTGTCGCAGCTTTGCGATCTGGTTACCGGTGAAACGCTGCAGAGAAACACATGGATTCGTCTTTTAAATACCCTAGAAACACACACAGATATAGACAGAGACAAACAGGTAGAAAGCGCAACCTCGTAGGCTCTGGACCCAGTGAGCTCGGCAAGTCTCAGAGCACCCCCTGCTGCAGCCTCCAGGTGCAGACACTGTGGCCCGCTGCTTGAGTCCATCCACACGGGAGCGTCGCACACTGAGAAACTGTCCCGCAGCAGCCGGTGGAGCTTCTGGTCCGGGATGAGCTGGTTCAGTGTCTGAGATGCCCCCTTTCTCCAGTACACGCTGCCGTGTTGCTGCGAGACCAAAGACAATGGGCCTCATTCTCAAACAGTGGATACACACAACTCTGCACTGACACTGTGTGTACGAACAATTTACACACACATCCAGGATGTATCAATAGTTTCTTGCCTAAATTTGTTTGTACTCTGCAAACAAATGTAGAACTACCTCAGACTTTAATAGTAAATATAATTAAATATATAGTTAATATAATTAATTACTTGAAGGCTTTAGCCATTAATGCACTGGCCAAATGTAGCCTATTAAATAACCACAAAATTAGTGGCCTTTCATCCTCATTGTTCAGTTAGAATTCAAATATTCAACAATCCCACTCCTAGTGTCCCACTTGTAATGAGTATGTGAGAGTAGATATTGCTTTTATTGACTTGGCCCATAGTGAGACTGCTCCTACAAATTTCTATAGTACCAAAAAATTACACAGTGTATATGTAGCCAGTGTTACCTGGTTGCCACCCGCTTAATTTCTAGCCTATTAAAAGGCTGCAGGATATACAAATGGTTCCGATTTACTTCCAAGCAGTGTTAAGATGGCATATGAAGCCTGTTCCTTCAACAAAGAGCAAGCTTTCACACTTTACTGCTACAAATATAACCAAGAATCAGGTGTTCTTTGCACCAGACTTCACTCACGTTTTTAAAAACATTATCTGTAAGTACGTCTCTCTTGCTAAAGACACAAGCAGTGTCCATGTCCCACCTGGCCGCTGCCTGACAGTGCTCGAACACGGGAGAAGTCAAACCCCACTCTCTTCATCTTGTACAGTAGCAGGTCCAGAGCCTGAGGACACAAACAACAAAAATCTGTCTTTCTGCCAAACTCCATTCACCTTTGTTTTAGTCACATTCACCTGCATGTTTCAACACACTCCTACTAAAAAGACAGAGCTCAGATTTTCTTTCCACCAAACTCAATTCACTTTTTCTTTCATTTTAGTGTCCCCACTTTGCTAAAATCTCACCTTGACCCACATGAGCACAGGTGCAGTGACCGTCAGTCCATCAGCATGAATGTGAACTCCTCCCTGAGTCCTGCAGAACAAAAACCACATGACCCATCTTCAAAATCATGAATCATGTTAACAAAATAAAGTTACCTGAATTCAGGCAGCTCACTGTCGAAGTGCACACTGTCATGGTGACACACGTTCAGGTGTTCGTCCACTGCTGCCACTTTCAGCTTCATAAAGAAAAACACAAGTAGACAATAAAAGTACACAGATGAGAGACCATGGAGAGTTTATTAAACTAGTGAAACCAACTTGCATCAGAGATAATAAGATGTGAAGGGTGCTGCATTAAAGTATTTCCGTATGTCTGTGGATCTTTTTGGAGATTTACTGCATGGAATCAACCTTTTGTTAAGTACACCATGTAGCACAGACAGTATGCCTGTTTGTTCAGATGCAGAAACTCATGTGGTGGTGGTGGTGGTGGGGGGCAGTTATCTCTAAATGAAATTTGGACCGATCCGTTAACATTAGACCCGCATCCCGTCTTGTACCCCAAATTAAAACAGACTTTAAGCCACACAGTCACTCACCTTAAAGTGCTTGAGACTTGTGTTCTTGGAAAAGCATCTATTGATGGACACGACATTTGGGCTTCTGCAGCTGTTTTCTTAGAGCGAACTGGCTTGAGGCTATCACATGCTAACACTTTGCAGCATTTTCTACAAGTAGCAAAGCTGCTGATAAGGTTGTTCTGAATTTCTCCCATACGTCTGACTTGGCCTTCAGTGATGTATTGTTCATAAATTTGTATTCACCACTGGCTATTTTCACTTTTAAGTTATCCATTTTGGTCCATTGAGGCCTAGCCTACGTTGACATAGGCGATGTTTAGCAACATCCGATTACATGATGCAAGTTGACGGGTCAAAGGTCGTGCTGTAGGCCTTCACAAAAATGTTTCAGTTATTTAGGCTTGATAAGAGTATGTCAGGTTGGACACTTAAAATAAGCTGAAGCTTTATTTATTTTTTTAAATTTTAATTCATTTGACCCACAACCCACACACATTTGGTGTATTTTTACCTGTACTCCTGAATTAATATAAACATGTTTTTAACCGTTCAGTGTCATTTTTGCTGAACTCTGAGCTACAGTGCTAATGTTGCTAGCAATAAATCACAATATTTTGCCAGATCAAACTTTTTTGTTTGTTATAAGAGTTGATATTGCACTAGTTAAATAGGTGTTAGTTGTAACCTATCCTAATATGAGGATCATGTTATTGTACAGCTTGGGAAATTGGGAAACACACCTAGGCTATTAACTAGTTTCACATCAATTCAACCAATGGTCAGCAGTAACTGGCTGCGCAACTGGGGTCAAAGTTCAACAAATTAGAACTTTTTTCACATCCCTGCTCCACACAATGGTGAGATGTGCACAAAAGCCCCTTTCCCACAATAATAATTTATTTTGCATGTCGACATTAACTCAAAATGTAGCTTTGATCATTAAGGTCAAAATGTCGAGAATAAAGTTGAAATGTTAAAGTTTGACTTTATTCTGGACATTTCAACTTTAATTAATAATTAATTAAAAATTATTTAATCTTCTTCCTCTCATTTTCCCCCTTAATGTGGCCCTAATGCTCTGTCATACTGTAGCTACATATACTTCACGTATAGGCCCGGTAAAAAAAAAAGGCTATTCTGTTCTATTCCTAATCATTAGCTGCAGCGGCGCCATTTACACTTGATCCACACTTGTTAAATTATCAGACGACTGGATCTGCAGTATATGCATCTGATAAAACCACGTTTGACTCTTTGTGAAAATAACATTTTGACTGCAGGACATGACTTGTTCTGCAATATTTTAGGACGTGGTATTTCCACACTGCCTAATGACTCACTTGGTCCAAAGTCCAGTAAAAAATAACCACGTATTCTTCGTCCGCATGTGCGCTGTTAAAGCGGGTTTTAGTTTGCGTGTGAGCAGCCTTTAAGCTCAGCCACTCCAGTGAAGCGACCGTACAGGTGAAAAGTACTTTTCAGTACCTGCTGCGTGCTGAAGTCTAAGCCCAGGTAGAGAGGACTGTCCGGAACGGCGGCCATAACGCTGAAAAACACACGCGCACCGGAAACGGTTATATCTTTAAAGAGACACACTGAAATGCTCAAAAAAGGAGAAGGTATTCCACAGCTTACCTGAGAATCCTCGGATTTTTAAGTTTCCTGTATTATTACAGTAATTCGATGATAGGTGTTAGCACATGAAATGACACACTGCAAAGGAATTGTTAGTAGTTACTACAGCGTACTTATTTTCCACAAAATGTAAAGAAATATGCCCTAACGAATGTACTGAGGCAAAAACCGAAGCCCCACATAACTTCCCTAAGAATTCTCTTTTTTTGTTTTCTTCGGTCTTTAAGTAAATCCCTGGTAGCTGTAAAAGAAATAGTAAACATTAAAGAAAGAACTAATCATTCGGTGGTCATAATTTCCCAGAATATAAAGTAATATGCAAAAAAGGGAGTAACTCATTGTATGCACGTACCCAGTCAGGAATTAACCAGAATTATGGATTTTCATATATATATTTAAATTTCAAGAGTCTCTTGTTATCTTCTTCTTTATTGTGGGGATGCTGTGAAGCATCCACACTATGTCTGTCCATTTTTCTGCACTTAATTTCTTCAGCTACAAAAGCCATGAAGTTATCAAAATGTTCAACTCTTTAAGGATATTCCTGCTTGTATTTTTATTGTTTGTAACATATATACTTTTTAACATATTTAGCTTTTTTCAGCAGATTTTGCCCCATTCAAATGAATGGGAACAATTTTCACATCTTAATATCTTCAGCATACATTCAGTTAAAACCACCATTTCAACTAATAACTATTCAGCAACTCTTCAGCTATTCATTCTGTAAACAGCTTTATGATATTTTTTTTATTGTTTTTGAATAATTATCATTTACATTTTATGTCTCATTTCAATAGCCACTCTAGTATTTCTCAGTGTGTAGGACTACTCTTTCTTTCTTTCTCATACACAAACATACACACCCACACACACACACACACACACACACACACACACAAAACACTACTTCTTTTACCTACTTTGTGGGGACCAATAGGAAAATGTTCACATCTTAATAAGTTCAGTATACTTTCAGCTAGAAAAGCCATTCTGGTATCAAAATGTTCAGGTTTTTCAGGACATTGTAGGACCTAAGCATCCTGCATGTTCATTTCTGAGGAAGAGTCGAAGTCAGCAACATTATGGTGTATAGTCAACATTTTTTTTACAACTTTCATACTTTTGAAAATATTCAGCATTTATTCTGACAATTTTGCCCCATTCAAATGAATGGGGAAATCCAACTTCAGCATACTTTCAGCTATGAAAATGTTCAGCTCTTCAAGGACATTCATAGTACTATTCAGAAATTTTCTAAACTTCATACATTTTAAATATTCGGCTTTATTTTGAAAATCTTGCCCCATTCAAATGAATGGGGAAATTCTACTTCAGCAAAGTTTCAGCTATTTCAGCTAACAAAATGTTCAGCTCATCAGGGACATTCATACTACTATTCAGAAGTTTTCTAAACTTCCTACTTTTGAAATATTTAGCTTTATTTTGAAATGTTTGCCCCATTGAAATGAATGGGGAAATTCTACTTCAGCATAATTTCAGCTATCAAAATGTTCAGCTTTTCAAGGACATTCATGCTACTAAATTTTTCTAAATCTCATACCTTTGAAATATGTAGTTTTATTTTGAAAATCATGCCCCTTTGAAATGAATGGGTAAATTCTACTTCAGCATAATTCCAGGTATCAAAATGTTCAGCTCCTCAAGGACATTCATGCTTCTCTCTGTTCAGGATTTTTCTAAACTTTCTACTTTTGAAATATTTAGCTTTATTTTGAAAGTTTTGCCCCATTCAAATGAATGGGGAAATTCTACACTCAGCATACTTTCAGCTATTTCGGGTATGAGAATGTTCAGCTCTTCAAGGACATTCATGCTTCTATTAACAATTTTTCAAAAGATCACACTTTTAAAATATATAGCTTTATTCTGAAAAGTTTGCCCCTTTCAAATGAATGGGGAAATTCTACCTAAGCATACTTTCAGGTATTTCAGGTATCAAAATGTTCAAGTCTCTCAGGACATTCATGCTTCGATTCAGAATTTTTATACATTTCACACTTCTGAAATATTTAGCTTTATTTTGAAGATTTCCTCCACTCAAATTAATGGGTAAATTGTACTTCAGCATACTTTCAGGTAGATATGCCTTTCAGGCGTCAAAATGTTCAGCATTTTCAGAGCAATCATTCAGCACATTGCATCCACACGCATTTTCGACAGGAAATGCATTTCTCTAGTTTTAGATGAAGTTTATTATTTTGAATACTACCTCAGAATAAAATAACTAAATTCAACATTTTAAGAATTATCCTGAAATTAACTTCAAAACACTGAGTATTTTAGTAAACATTTCAGTACTTTTGAATAAATAAGTCATTGCAAAATGTACGTGCATTTTTATTTATTTTTTTTTACATACTCCTCACACATCACTCAAAAGACAAGGCAGTAATCTGTGTTCACAGCTTGTTATAAAGATGTGAAAATATACTGTACATATCGTGTGTGACGTCTAACATTAGTACAATATTATTGCAATTGTATAAATCAAATGTTACAATATGCCTTACTATTTTGACAGTCATTACATTAGTTAATACTTTGTAAACAAAGTGTTTTTCTTAAATATATAATGTAAGACAGACCCACATATTTTAATGGCCAAGATCTAGTTCATTTTTTATCATCTGTCTGAGTTTGATATACAAGTCAACTCTTTCAAACACATCATTTGATAGCTTCATATTATACTCTGACATTAAGTCCACGCAGACATGGAACACGTCTTCATCACATGGGAAGTCCTTAAATATGCACTCATCCAGGCAGACTTGAACCTTCTCAAGGTCCACATGGTGCAAACACTCTCTGCCTCTGTACAGTTGAGGGACAGCATGCAAGATGGATGGGCATCCATGAGGTGATCGTGAATTGTGTACTTGACGAACTCTGGTTGTTCCAAGTTGATACAACCTCATTAAGTTCATCCTAGGGTGGCAGATCATATTTAGGCAAACTCAGTACACAGATATTTGGTAATTGGAAACTGCCGCCTCAGTGAAATCATTCTGTACTCAATTTGATGAGTTGCCACAGTAACACTACCATAAAATGCAGTGCAGTCCACCTTTTGCTGTAGCTGCATTATCATAGCTACTTTTTTTTTTAATCAGACAACAAAATTTAAAAAATAAAAATTATTCATTGTGTTATGATCTATACACAGGGCAAACCTTAAATGAGGCATAATTTTTACTTGATATAGAATCTTTGCCACAGTTCACATGCTTGTGCAGGTTTATTATTATGTTACATTTGCAGTATGTATTTAGATTTGAACAATTATATGCACAGGACACTTTAATACATGATGGTCAGTTGGGGCTCTTACAAAACATTGTTATACTACTGGGCACATACCTGCATTGTTTGAAGAAAGCAGAACTGGACCAAGGACTTGTCCAAGAAGTTGTCTGAGAAGTAGCCATCTGCTCTTAGCTTGTCAAAGAGGTCAATCCAAAACTGAACACACTGACTGCGCAAGATCAGCCACAATCGTTCAATCCGCTGATTTCCAGTGCTTGGACCAAAGGTTACACTGTCTCTTTCAGCTTGAGTCTCAGAAAAATGCAAAAACCTCTGCATCTCAGCAACATATCCATTTTCTGTTCCTAAGTCAAGTCTGACTCTGGCAGGACATCCACCTGCGCTGATTACAGCGCTGCAATGATCTTTGGGTCATTGTTTGTTTTGTAAGCTTCAAGCCAGATCATCTTTCTTGAAAACCCATCAATGCATCCACTTATTGCAATTCCAAATGGCTTAAGCTTATCATAGCCATCAATGTGCCAGACATAGTTTGGACCACAGCTGTGATAAACACGCCTTTGAGTCTATTTCTCGACCTCAGATCAACCCCTTCCCCATCCAATAAACAGAGCAGAGTTCGAACAGATTACAATTCCATGTAGCCAACATTTTTGGTGCATCCATCTGTAACCATGAGACTGAGCCAATTTTTTCTGGTTGCTGTTCAATGAAAGCTGCCACATCAGCCACATTGGTTAAATTCTTTCAACGCCAGAGCTGCTTCTTGCTTAAAATCCTCTCAAGGGTGCGCTTGCTTAATACAATTTTTAGATTCAACCGGTTCTTTTATCTGAAGGCCCCAAGAAGTAACACTCAGGAAACAGGAATCAGCTTTACGTAGATTTATTTTCTTCTGGTTAAATGCAGAGTTATTACAGCGCTGGGCTCTAAGAGATGACAAGTCCCCAAGAGCTCTGATAATAGGAAGTAATTCACATATATCTTCTCGGGCTGGGACTGCCCTGTACATGAGTGGAAACTCATATTATCTTCTAATCTGTTGACTCAACACTCACAACATGAACAGGACACGAGGTTCATACACGGTTCATAGAAGACAAGAAATACTACAAGTTGTCTCAAAACTGAATATTATAACTATAATGCATGCATAAGAGCCAGGTTAATACTGATACATGGAGCTGTTAATGAAACACAGACAAATAGTCATACTGAACTTTTCCATTATAAAAGCAAAATAATACTGATGATAAGTAAAAAAATAACTTTAACTCCTGAAATCCAATCCTAACACAATCCCATGAGAATCAGAGTAAATGAAGTATGTCCTCTGTGGTAAAGCCAAGCTTAAAGTAATCATCAATGTAGTCACAATCAATCTCTTTGGAAAATTCACTCAAATGTTGCCTTTAGAAATGAAATTAAAAGTTAAAAATCTCATAATCATGATTTAGAGTCAAAATTTCGACTCTATCTCATAATTTTGACTTACTAAGTTGAAATTTTGACTTTTTATCTCATAATTATGACTAAGTCGAAATTAAGTCGAAATTTTGACTTTTTATCATGTTATCCTGTTCTTTATTTTTCTGATTTGGCGGAAACGGGCTTCCATACTTAACTACTTCAGCATAATTTCAGCTAGAAAAACCATTCAAGTATCAAAATGTTCAGCTTTTTCATTTTGCCCCATTCAAATGAATGGGAAAATTCTACTTCAGCATACTTTCAGCTATTTCAGGTATCACAATGTTCAGTTCTTCAAGGACATTCGTGCCTCTCTTCAGAATTTTTCTAAACTTAATAACTTTGAAATATTTAGCTTTATTCTGAAAATCTTGCCCCATTGAAATGAATGGGAAAATTCTACTTCAGCATACTTTCAATTAAAAAAACTATTTAGGTGTCAAAATGTTCAGCATTTTCAGGGCGATCTTTCAGCACTCAGCATCCATACGCAGTTTCTTCAGAAAATGCATTTCTCTAGTTTGTTCTAGTTTGTTTTTATTACCTGATGTAAAAAGGCAAACTCCAGTACGTTTAACCCTTGTGTGTTACCGTAGATAACCAAAGATCGTCTATATTTCAGCATTCCAATTTCCCTCGCTTGACTTCGGCTGTGGCGCAGATCGCATAAACGGGATTACCAAACGCGTTCAGAGTGAGACATATTTTTCATTTCCCTGAAACAACAAATACACCAAAACAACTTAATTGAGCTGAAGAAAGTGTTTAACGGACGGTTTCCTCTGCGAGTCAGCTTCTCTAACTTCCAGGTTACTCGCGGAAATATTTACACGAATTTTTGGCACAATTTAAAGCACAAACCGGAGAAACCAGCTTTGTTTGAAGCTAGCAGCTAACCGAGCCGCATTTATTTTATTCTTGCTAATCAGGTTGTATGCTAATAACGTGTTGTCGTTTTAAGTTAAGCTTATAGCCACTGTACCTGTACCTTCATTTTATCGTTTCTTAACATAATTTTTGGCAAAACGTCAGCGAAAAACACGGATATGCTAGGTTAATACAGAGCTACGTGCTTTTAATTAGCATTTAAACACCAGAAGCTTGTTTTACAGAGAGAACGCTTTAAGTGACCATATGTCAAGTTCTAACTCTAAACACTGACTCTGTTTTCCATAATACACCTAAAAGGCGTTTTCAGTCTCAAGATGTTTACAGCTATGGCTCAAAATCAGTGCGCCATATGATATAGCTACTTTACAAATGACACTGACAAAGGCTGTCACATTCTCCTGTCTACTCGGCATATATATGATGCCAACTTAACTGCCAGCTAAATAAATTAAAGCATTTCAACCATAAATAGCGTTAAAACATACGAGTGCTGTGTGACAAAGTGCTTGCTACAGACACCGTTCAGTATTACACTCGTACTCCACACACAGCTTTTGATACAATCAGTGGATTTTTCTGAGTATGAAATTAAGTATGATAAGCTACTATTGCACAATATATGCTGTAAATGTGTTGGTGATCTGCAGCTTATTAATGTGAAATAACACTATCATACAAACATGATGCTGTAAAGGATCAGCTAAATAAAGCCGATACCAATGGCAGGATTAAAAATGCTTTACTTTAACATGATGCCAATCGGGCTGCTTGCCATATAGACCTATGTAATGTATACTGAGAAACTCAAAAGGTTTGATTCGTCTTACCTAGTAACCAGTATGTACGCTGGGTAATCATAAGAATTGAACTACACTACAGGCGGTGACAGCAGGGGGTGGTAATAAAAAGCTTCATTCAAGACTGCTTGAGGCAGCTGTGGTGCGGGAGTTAGAGCGGGTTGTCTCCCAACTGGAGGGTTGGTTCAATTCCCAGATCCTTTATACTAGCTTTACAACTGAAGGAGTCCAATACCAAACATTTTGAACCGAGGACCTTCCTGATGTAGGAGAACTTGTCTAAAGTCTTGTGGTTTTGTTTCAGACACGATGTCGGAGCAGAACACGGAGGCCAAGTTGAAGAACCTGCTGAAGCAGGAGAAGATCAAGCTTTGGAACCCACCGTACACTAGTGACGATGGTCACCCCAGTGCAGAGCATATGCAGGAGCTGACCAAACGTTACACCCCCCTCTTAGGTCTGTCAGCATCAGAGGTTGGGGCTGCCCTTGAGCTGATCCGAGTCCGAGCGGTGGAGAGAGGCAAAGGGAACCGAATTTTCAGGGAGACCAGTGTTGCCACTCTAGAGCTGCAGCTGCCCCGAGACTGCAGAAAGGTACTGAGACTGACAGACCAGTTTTGATAGAGGTGTATTTTAATGGATCTCTATCATGTCTGATGCTTGTTTTATGTTTTATTTTGTTATATATATATCTCACATTGCATATTTTTATTTAATTGACATTACTTTGTAGAAACCTGTTTTCACTTTGACATTAAAGAGGTTTTTTTGGAATTTTTTTTGTCAAAAAAGCCTAATTATATTGATCATGATTGATTTATAAAATCAATAAAATGGTAAAACATCCAAGGGGGTGAATACCTTTTATAGGCACTGTATGTTAACGGTTCAGTATTGGGATGGGTATTGATGCAGGCCATTGTGATACAAGCTTATTTAGCATCAGAGCTCTTGCGGGTAGTAGGAAGGTAGGTACAAGCTAGTCAGTGTAGGATGTAGCTTGGCACCAAAGATTTTTGTTTTAATTGGACTTTGAGAAATGTTTTACAAGAGGTTGAATTGACCAGGGATTTTCACTTTTATTTAAAATAGTGAGCAATAGCAACTGAAAGCTAAAATAAGCTAGTATTTTTATTCTACTTTAGTTTGCATGTTCAACATTAGGTGAGAGAGAAACAGTATTTCTATTTTTCTGTATGTCCTGCACATATAGTGAATTGCTGATAAAAATCTTTGATCTTGATCTTGAACAGTCGGACATAAAAAAAAAAAATTAGGTCCTGGGTCTCAAGCTAAACTGAGCGTGATTGTTTTCAGGATCTGAAGTCAAAAGACTATCTGGAGATGAGACTGGACGTGCTGGTTCAAGAGTTGCTGGACAGGTACACAACATTATGTCTCCTGCACTAGTTAAACATAGCAGTTAGGTGTTCGGTGTTAACAGTTTCTGTGCTGCAGGATCAGGGAAGAGTTCGGCCTCAAGTCTGTCAAACTCATTCTGAACGGGAAAACTCTGACTGCAGGTCAGTAGCATTACAACGATTGTTAACCACTGAAACAGCAACCCTCTGACATGGTCAATAACCCACTGAAACTAGTCTGCAACCACCAAAACTAGTAAATAATCAACTGCATCTGGTCAGTAATTAACTGAAACCAGTCAGTAACTTACTAAAACAGTCATTAAAATAATAGAATGTGTATGTGGATCCATTAGACCAACGTCTCAACTGTCAAGGTGTAACAAACCACAGCCGGCTGATGGTGCTGAAAGTGAGTGATGCCGAGTTGAAGCAGCAGATAAGCAAAGATGAGGAGGAGGAGAAGAACCAGAGCGACGGCCTCCAGAGGACCTACAAAGGCTTCCAGATCCTGTCAGAGCGAGGTACACCCTCACAGCTCTTGCTAAGCCAAGCATTAGTGATCTGTATGCTAAGCTAAGATAGTCGTTTCCAGTTGTTTCTTGACTTTATGATATTCTAATCTAGCTGCTTCAACAGTCTTCAAGGCTTTGAGCATAAGTTAGCTGCTTCTCCCTGCTTCCATTATTAACAATCAACTAAGCTGGCAGTTTACCCATTTCCATTGTTCATGTTAAACTAAATTGGTTGTTTCCTGTCTTTATGCTAAGATAATCTAGCAGTTTCCCACTTTCAGTCATATGCAAATTTAATAATGCTTTTTTCTGGTGTTTAGTGTTTATGCTAAGATAGCTGTAACCTGTTTCCAGTCTGTATGCTAAACTAGGCTAGCTGTTTCCTCATTTCCAGTTGTTATGCCAAGGTAAACTAGCTGTCCCCCTTGTTTTCAGTATTTAATCTCAGCTAAGATACCAGTTCCCCCATTTCCAGCCTATAAGCTAAGCAAAGCTGGCCGGGTCCCCCTTTCCCAGTTTTTCTGCTTAGGAAAGCTATCAAGTTCCCTCTATTTTCAGTATTTATGTTAAGCTAATCAAGCCTCTTTTTGTGTCCATCAGATGGTAGTGAAGACCCAGACACAATGCCCTTCCTGGAGATTGCGGACCAGAAGGGCAATCCCCTGAAGATCCCTGACCGGGAGAGGAAGGTACGTCAGAAAGATTTTAACTTGTGTTTTCATCACATGATTAGGCTAGTGTCCAAACTCTGTGTGTCATCAGGCTCTGATCCTTGCCATGGGTTTCCACGAGAAAGGCCGCTCACTGATGAAGAGGAAGCAGTATGACAATGCTCTTTGTCACCTGCTTCAGGCCGACCACCAGTTCAGGTACCAGCAAATTTGGCTCGGTGGTTAATAACGCATTTTCCTGTGGCATGACAAACGCATTTGTGTGTTTCTCTGCAGCACGTTTGGCTCAGTGCTGCTCAGCTCAGTTGACAACTATGGCGTCCTGCAGCTGGATATTGTGTGGTGTTACCGAGCGCTGGAGGCCCTGTCGTGTTTGAGCGATGCCAAGAGTCGACTGCAGAGGGCTGAGGAGTGTTTCCTGCAGTGTTATGGAGAGCAGAAGCAGAGACTGCTCCAGATCAAGGTTAGACACACCAAGGGTTTCCCCAAGGTTTACTTCCTGCAAAAGACTAACCACCAGTCCAAAGCTAGTGCTAGCCGACTAACAAGTAAATTTGTCAATCCAGTAGAATGCTCTAGAGTTCAAAAACGCATCTTCTTGTCTCCTGTTTCCACTCATGTGTTCTCAGGGGAACACCGGCAGAGAGGAGGTGTTGTTCCTCCGGCTCCATCTCCTCCAGAGTCTCCTGTCCTATGTCGACGGAGATGACTCACAGGCCCAACACCAGCTGTCCAAAGTAACTCTGGCTTTGTTCTTCAGTTATTTGTCTTTTATTTTAGTAACTTTTCTGCTTCCTGTCTAATCTGGGCTGCTGCATTTGTCCTCAGGTGGAGTCTCTCTACGAGCGCCTGCGTCCAGACCCTGAGAAGATGGGGAAGCTGATGGCGCTGGGTTTCACTGAGAGAGAAGTCCGGCTCGGCCTGCGAGCCTGCTGGGGGGATGTGCACGAGGCTGCCATGCTCATCAGCAACCGTAGACAGGTAACACACATAGTTTGTAAGAATGTCTCCACAATGTAGGTGTTTTGTCCATGGTACTCCAGATTCTTTGACAAGCTATTTAAACAATAAATCCATCTCCTCACCCAGTGTCAGCCACAGGACTATACTTCACTTATCAGTTCAGACACAGGGGAAAAACAAGATGTCCATAACTGAAATAAACATTAAAATGACTTTTAACAGCTATAACAGAACAGTATGAATGTCCTCACAGCACAGAAGTGTCCTGACAGTGTAGATATTTTCTGCTGTGTATAAAACAAGGGCTGTCATGAAGATGCAAAATATTGTCGAACATATGACACAACAAAATAGAACAAAAACGAGTTATCAGAAGTTATCATTAAGACATGAAAACTGGTAGAAATATGCAACAAACTCAAACAAATGATAAACCATTACAACAATGCAAATGAAAAAAAACTGGTAATCGACTTGCACTTGTACAAAGCTTTTCTACCTGCAGCAGTCGATATCGATGATAACAGTAGAGTCTCTGATGGTTACAGTCATTTTATTGTCTGAGCCACAAGACCAGGATCTCGTCAGCACAGGTAGCACTGTGAAAACTGGAAATAAAAACACAAATGGTTACCTTTTAAGCTCTTTGCCTTGAACGGGTCTACGCAAGTTGTCAGATTGTTACAGTGTAACATTTAAATTTATACACCTCACCACAAATTACCCGTCTTGGACGTGGAACCAGCTCAACCTGGACCAGAAGCTGAACCGGCTTCTGCGGGACAGTTTCTCAATGTCCGCTAATCCCTGTGGATTGACTCCAGCAGCAGTCATCAAAAGGTTCTGTGTGGAACTACTCTGAGAAAATGACTGACAAGGAGATGCAGTGCAGTGGTGGGGGCCAAGTAATCGTTGAATAGTTACCATTGAGGACCGAATAGTATTTTATCTTGAAATGCCCATCTCTAATCTAAATTTACAACGTTATCGGTGAAGCAGATATGTTGTCATGTACTCATGAGTGAATAAAATGAATGAAACAAGCAGAGATGCAACACGTGTAAAGCAAAGGAAGTTCATCAGCAGCATATAAAGTATTCAAATATTAACCATCCAGCACCAAATGGGGGACATTAAATTGTATGATATACTACTTACATGTAACACAAAGATTAATAAGGCAAGTGAGACTTGAAGTAAAAATTCTGCCTAACAGCTATACCGACTCTGGGGCAAATTGTTTTGGGAAACTCACTTCTACAGGAACGCGAGGAAATCAGTGACTTTGTGGACATTTACACCACCATAGTACTCAAAGTGCTACTACTTGTTCACCCATTCACTAACATATGTTTGTCCATTCACACACAACTCCCATCTGGGACACTTTGGGGACATATAGTGTTTTGCCCGAGGACACTTGGACGTGTGGACTGGAAAAGCTGGGGATTGAACCACCAACCCTGTGATTAGGGGATGACCAATGAGAATAAAAATACCGGGTCTCTACACCTGCATGTTGCTACTTTGTGTAGTTGTGTTATTGTTGCCTTTAATTTGAACTAATTCACATTCCAATGTTTTATCTATATATGCATTTTAATATTTTATCTGTGTGCTCTGTGTTAAGCACTTTGAAATACCTTTGTGTATGAAAATGTGTTGTATAAATAAACTTGCCTGCCTCTACCTCCTGAGCCACCCCCACCCCTAAACGCATACTAACACACAATAATTAATGATAAAACACGGGGCGCCCTGATATGGTGCACTACATACCAGTGTGCGTGCGACATCATCAGATCGAGTCCAGCCACCAACCTATGCTGCAGGTCTCCCCATTTCCTGTCTGCCTCTCAGCAACGTACTTTCATATAAGTATATACCTAATAAAGGGGAAAATGCAACCACTCCCCAAAAAAACTCTGAATGTCTCAACAGTGTAGAAATTTCCTGTGCCATATAGTCATAAAGACGCAAAAAAGCAAGAACAACTTTGACAAGACATAAAAACACTACATGCTAAATGTCCTCTGTGTAGAAAAATGTCCCGACAATGAGACAAACCTGTGTGCATCTCAGGAGCGTGAGCAGCTGAAGCAGCGTGAGCAGCAGCGGAGGGCGGCAAGGATGGAGGCTATATCCATGCTGACGGAGCTTGGGTACTCGAGGAAAGACGCTGCCCAAGCACTTAAGCGTGCCAACGGAGACATCAACCGAGCGTCCGCGGTCAGTGTCTGTCTTCACACTGTGGCTAGCGTTGGTATAGCTATTTAGAAATACTGACGCATCAGCTTTTGAAATATGCAGCATATATAAATAGTACACAAAAATTCATGATCATATTCATTCATATAGTGATTTTTTTAAACACGTTTTTTCTGATGTTATGCATTTTTTATGTTTTTATTTTTGCAGAATTTTCCAATGTCATTCATATTTAGTAGTGTATTTAAAACATTTTGAATATGTTACTTGCATATTTCCAGTTTTCTGACATGATTCCTCTTTCTAGATCCTCCTGGACTCTGGTCTGGCTGCTCAGGCCTCCAATAACAACACACAGCTCTGTCCGGACCAGATGGAGCAGGTACTGAAACTGGTTCCCGCTCTAAGTCGGACCCTGGACCCCATTAGACTAAAACCTTTTCCCATTTGTGTTCTTCCAGCTACTGGATCTAGGCTTTGAGCCCAGTGTGGCCGAAGAGGCGCTGCAACTGACGGCTGGTGACGTCCAGTCAGCAACTCAGCTGCTGCTGGACAACCAGGGTGTCTTGACCTCACCCACCATGTCTTCCGCTTCTTCGTCCCCATCCTCGTCCTCGGCGCCCACCCCCTCATCTACCTCCCCAGGTGAGATGCACCTACACCTCTAACAGCTTTTAGTCTAAAATGTTTTAGATATTTGACATTTTTAGTTGATCATATTATTAGTAGTATGGTGTTAATATACTGTATATTTCCAAGCTTTAAGACATATTTTCTCATGCTTTAGACATCTTAGTAAAATTTAACTAGACATCACTCAGAGAGCGCAAACTTCTGCCAAGGGGCAAATCGCTATCCCCTACTCGCCTTAGGAATTTTCAGATTTTTTTAAAGAGATTTTGTTAATGTATTAATATTTTAGGGCATCTTTTTGAAAAAATCTCCAATATTTTTAAAATGTTATTACTCTATCTTGTAAAATGTATCTTTTTTGGGGGGAGATTTTGGCCCAGTTTTTTATTCCTTCACATATCTTCAACATGCCCTTACCGCATTCTCTCTCCTCAGAGGATGATGAGCTGGTCCACGAACTGCTGGGGGACATCTCCCGCCATGAGGAGGACTACCTGGACTTGACACTGGATGAGGAGGCTGAACTCATTGCTGCCATGAAGGGCTACTTGAGCTGAGGTTGTGCACATGTTTCAAGAAGTTCATTGGCAGTTGTTCAGTGGAGGCAAAGACTTTGAATTTAATTAAATATTGACTGACAAAAAATGGCTTCACACTTTGTTGATTTGCACTATACATGTTTAAAGAAGAAAGTAAAGAAAGACTACAAAGCTTTCAGTTTGTTCCACTGAATGTTTTTTGTTTCTGATGTTTTTGTTTTTCAATGTTTGTTTCTAAATTCTGTGACAACTCGCTTCTAACTCTGTTTTTTGGAGAAACCAAAGAGCTGCTCCTTTTACACTGACAGTCTGGCTTAGGGAAATTTTATTTTGTTGTTGTCCTAACAATAAGTAAAATTTATGTTTGTGACAGTTTGGGTTTGAGTTTGTTTAAATTAATTTCATGATGATTTCATGTCAGTGGAGCCAATTAACAAAATTAAGGATTGTTGTTTGCTTGTTTATGGGAAAAGCTGAGTTTAAGAAACAGGACAGCAATTACTAACATATATTTGATAATCAATACATTAAAAAAAAAAAAAAAGTAGAAGTTGTGCTGGCAAACTAAATTTTAAGGAAATGTGAATGGAGTTTGGTGATGAACCAGCCTGTATCATTTGCATTTTTTTGGACCTTTTGTGCTTTTTTTGACAATTGTTTGATCATTTTTATGACAATTGCTTTTTATGTAACAATTTTACGTGTTTGACACTTTAAAATTGTTTTATTTTTAGCACTCTTGGATATTTGGTTGTTCTATTGGGATTTTTCTCTTCTCCCAGTCTTTTTACTGATGTTCTAGGTTTTATTTATCATTATTACCGATTTTACATGATTTAGCGCCTACATTTCCTCATTACTTCTTCGTTATAATGATAAATTATTGTGTATGTAAAGGAAATTATAAAACAGTAACATTAATAGACAAATATGACAACTTTTTAAACATATCGATTAGGAAAATGTTTTTATTTCTTGGATTCAGGTGAGCTTTACATAAATACAGAACATAATCCTGGTAAATCTTAAACCAAACGGGCTTTGACTTTGAAAAACCGGAAGTGCGATGGTTGTTGTAGCTCGATGCTAACCGGTGTGGATATCATGTCGGTTTGTTTGGGAGCGTTAAGACGCCGTTTTCGCCCGCCTGTCGGCCCCCGCGGTCACCCCTCCGCTGTCAGCGAATCGCGCGGTTACACGTGACCAACGTAACGCCGCCGGACAGATACATACAGGTAAGAAAAGAAGTAAGTAGACAGCCCCGCTGGCCTCCAACTCTGTTGCTGCCAGCTAGTGACTGACTATGTAGGCTATACGCTTGAAACCGTATTAAAATGCCACAGATATCATTAAATTCAAAGAACAGTGAGCGAAGTTTGGTGGAAACACCTGCGTGTTCTTATAAGCCTTCACTGGACCTTTGGTCTATTTTAATAAATTAACTTTAACCATAGCCGCAGGTCAAAGTCTGATTCTGGTTTGCCTTGTGTCTTGAAGAATCATTGATCTGACCATAAAAATAGCCTGCACTTGTCCCGATGACTATATGCGCTACAGCAGTTAAAGTTCCACTCCAAAGCATTTTGATATTTAGGTTTGCATACAAAATTTACCTGCTATAAACAAGATAAAGTCTAATACAGTCTAAAAAAAGTTCAGTGAACCTCTGTAATAGGCCTCAACATTTGTCACTCATTGTGCATTCCGGGATCTATGAATATCTAAATAGATGCTAATAAAGCCACGACCACCGCCGCCTTCCCCACATGGGCCGGTGAACTCGCTGAATCAGGATGAGATGCAGGAGTGAACGCAAGGGCAGCAGGTCCAGCACCACCCAGACATTTCTCTGCTTAGTGACACCAAGTCCTCCTGGGGGACCCTGAGGTGTTCCCAGGCTGGATGAGACCTACATCCATCCAGTCGCATGACTCAGGCTCCAACATCTGGTTTCTTGTCATCTCAATGTTTGTGTCATTTTAACAGGAGAAAGTGTTCGACCGTTGGATGGTGTCCGGGTGTTGGACTTGACTAGGTAATGTTTGGTTTTCCTCAGCCCCTGGGATCAGTCTTCAGTTTAAATCTCTGACACAGGGGTGTTGCTAGACAAAGCTTTACTGGGGCACAGGCCCCCATTACTCAAATCACACAATTATTTTTCTTGAATGTCTGCTGCATGAATGAAATATGCTATCCATTGTGCTATGTGAACTTCCCTTCCCACTGTCCCACTGTCATACTGCTGCTACACCGAAACACCTAACACCGGTAAAAGTAAAATGTAGTGATATTAATCTTTATGAAAAGATTTATTTCAACATACATTAAGAACATTCTCAACATGTTTTCATGGTGTAAAAGTCAAGGCCCTGTATTACATATTTTTACACCTCTGAGCATGGTTCTACAATCTTCTGCTAAAGATACAAACTGCACACATTTTGTAAAAACAGATGGGAGCATAAAATCAAGTCTGCTGTGTGTCCAGAATTATGTGGACACCCTTGTCCTTGTGGTCTAAAATGTCCTCACTTTACAGAATGCCCTCTTTTCACAGAGTTCTGGCTGGTCCCTTCGCCACCATGATCCTGGGAGATCTTGGCGCAGAGGTGATTAAAGTGGAGAAACCGGGTGAGTTGCTGACACCTATGTTTGTCTACCTCGTGAAGAAATTGATTGTGACAGATTTTTTGTTTGCTCTTTTTTTATGGACAGGCACAGGCGATGACACCAGAGCCTGGGGTCCCCCATTTGTCAGCTCAGAGAGCGCCTACTTCCTCAGTGTCAACCGCAACAAGAAAGTAAGTGTGTGATTGTGTCAACATGACAGAGATGCGAAAAAAAATTGATTAAATTAAGTAAAAACACAAAAAGCTTACTTGTGCATTTTTCTAAGTTTTTTGTCATTGTATCTTAAATTGTTTTGCGTAATCTGTAGTTTTCTTGAATCTGTTTACAGTTTTTTTTTTTTTTTGCAAGATGCAAAATAACTAACTTGTAACCCCTGGGGACCAATTGTCTGGTTTCAGAGCATTGCTGTGGACCTGAAGCATCCCAGAGGACCCCAGATCATCCAGGAGGTATGACACTCCAAAGCAGTGAGTTGCTCAGTTGTTTTGTCTTTTCAAAGCCCATCATCCTTTTTCTTGATGTATTTGTTTGTGTGCCAGTTAGCAGAAATGTGTGATGTGCTGGTTGAGAATTTCCTGCCAGGGAAACTGTATCACATGGGTTTAGGCTACAAGCAACTGAGCAGGACCAACCCACAGCTCATCTACTGCTCCATATCAGGTGCACCAGTGGCTTGCTTCTCCTGCTGCCTTCTTACATCTTGTGCTAGATTCTTATGCTAGTTTCTTGCTTGTCATGCTAACATAGTTCTTTTTGTTCTAGCGTTTTGCTCCTCATACTAACTTCATGTTTCTCATGCTAGTTTCTCTTGCAAGTTTCTCACATCTCATGCCAGCTTTTTGCTTCTTGTACTACTTCCTTGTGCTAGGTTCCTTTGGAAGTTTCTTGCTTATCTTGCTATTTTCTAACTTGTTACAACAGCTTCTTATTTCTCACAGTAGTTTATCGCTTCTCTTGGTGGCTTCTCACATTACTGTCTTGCTTCTTGTGCTAGCTTCTCATGATAGCATTTCTCTTCATGCATTAGTTTCATTTCTCATGGTAGCACCCTTTGCAAGTTTGCTGCTTCCTATGCTAGTTTCTTGCGTTTCACAACAGCATCTTGCTTCTGACACTAGCTTGTCACTTTTCTTGCTATATTCTCACCCTACCATCTCACATCTTGCACTAAGTTTTTGCTTCCCACTGTAGTTTTTCTAGCTAGCTTCTAATGTTAGTTTCTAACATCTCATGCTAACGTCTCATACTAGTTTGTCAAATCTCACAACAGCGTTTTGCTTCAGTGTATTAGGCTCTCACACTAGCTTATCTTTTAATGCATTAGCTTTTAGTTTTGCATGCTAGTTTCTCAAACAAGCTTCTCTTGATGGTTTTTCAGTTTTTGTGCTACAATTTCATGCTAGCTTGTTCCTTGTACTAGCTTCTGGTGTTAGTTTCTCACAATAATGTCTTGCTTCTCATGCTACATTTTTGTTTACTCTAAATACTCTACTGTCATGTGTCTCTCTGCGCCCTCCCCTCAGGTTTTGGACAGACAGGGCCTCAGTCTCAAAGTCCGGGCTACGACTCCATCGCCTCTGCCATGTCAGGGATGATGCACATCACCGGGCCGGAGGTTAAACCTCAACCGAGTCTGATCAGCTAAAATAATAATAAAAACAGAAGTTTAGATTTTTCAAAAATTGTGTCGATGTCTCCTTTGTCAGGATGGCGAGCCAGTGCGTCCTGGTGTCGCCATGACTGACCTGGCGACAGGGCTGTATGCACACGGAGCCATCATGGCAGCCCTGCTGCAGCGGCACAAGATGGGGAAGGGAGTTCACATTGACTGCAACTTGCTGTCATCACAGGTAACAGCCAGGTGTGTGTGTTGCTGGGATTTCTGTTTGTTTCTGATGTTTTATTTCATTAAATTTGCTTATCGTAATATTTTTCAGATGTTTTATTTTATTATTAGCAGTTCTTAAAATTTAGTTCTTTTGTCAATTTCTAAAAAATGTTTTCACATTTTATATATTACTAAACATTTTCTTCTGATTTTTTGTTACATTTTTCAAAATAGTATTAAAAGCATATTATACTAAGAATGTTTAACATATTACAGTATATCTAGTTAAAAAATGATCTGATGTCTCTTCAGTGTGTTGTCTCTCCTCTTTCTACATTTAAAGAAAAAAATATTCAAAATGTGTGAGGTCATCTTTGTCAATAAAGTCTTTGTAATTGGTTTATCACTAGCGTCTATCTCACTCAGGTTTCCTGTCTCACCCACATTGCGTCCAACTATCTGAACGCTGGGAAAGAGGCGAGGCGCTGGGGAACAGCCCACGAGAGCATTGTACCTTACCAGGTAACACCTGGTAACTATGGAACATAAATGTCCTAATTTTGTAATGAATCTATTGTTTTTCTGTTTTTAAATTAAAGTGTTATGGTTATTAACAGTTACATCTAGTGTCACTAATCTTTTTTTTTTTAACATTTCTGTTTCAGAAAAAACAGGGTGCGCGCCATGCTTATCAGCTCGAGATTGAAAACTGAATTAAATTTTCTAATGTTGTATTTTTCAAATATCAGGTCAGGCTAAAATTAAGATTTTGGACTTGTTTTTTCAATTGTCTGGGTATAAAATGTCCAATGGCAATACAAAAAGTTGAAATATCAAGGTAATGCTTGTTTCTATTAATTCTTGGGCTGCCTGAGAGGGTGTGATCTAAGTGGTGCCCTAATTTGCATCTGATTGATTGTGGCATTGCTCAATCTCTGATCATTAGCTGGCACTTAGCTCCTGCCCTCTCAAGTGGCCCAAAAATGAATAGAAACTAAAACTATCCAGTTTTTTATGTTTTGTGCTTCTCTGTTGGACATTTTATTAAGAGAAAATTCAAAAAATGTCCAAAAACTTAATTTTACACTGATCTGAAAATTAACAATTTTAGAAAACTGAATTCAAATTTCTAATTTTCTAGTTGCCATTTCCTAAATAGAAAATTGAACTGATGAGCATTACATGGAGCAAACAGAGTTTGAAGCATGTCTGGAGCTAAAACGTATCTGTCTCTGTCTCTCAGGGCTTTAGAACCAGAGATGGACACATTGTGGTGGCGGTGGGAAATGATGAGCAGTTTGTCCGAGTCTGCCAGGTGAGTTACTTCAAACATTCCAGAATTGTGAAAAACGATCTTATATTCATGAAAACATACAAAAAGGGCAATTGTGCTGCTTATTCCAAAATACAGACCAGATAGGACCAGGACTAGATCCAAAACCGCTACGTAGAGACTTGTCAAATCTGGACTAGATGAAGCAGGAGAGTACAGTAGTCTGTTGTTGTTTGTTTACTTCCAGGTCCTGGATCTGACAAAGCTGACAGAGGAGCCGAAATATACAACCAACAAGCTGCGAGTCGAGAACCGCAAACAGCTGCTGCAAACGCTGTCGCAGAGGTACAACAGTGTTCCCACCTAGCTCAGAAACATGGTTGGGCATTTAGCTAGCCATGCTCTCTGAGGCTGTATGTACCTGGCTAAAACCTAACACCATTCTAACATGCAGGTAAAATATTTACAGTTGTCACCATCTTAGTTTAGCATGCTAACGCTGCAACAAACACCTCTGAAGTTTGGCAGGAAGATGTTAGTGTTATATTTCTTCTATTACGATTAGCCTAGCAGTCTGCAAGCCAGGCAAATAACTCAAAGAGAAAAAGTAAAAAAAAAAGAATATATTGTGAGACATCACAAATTTATCATGAAATGAGAGAGTTATATAAAAAAGGGGAAAAATGCTAACATTGATCATAAAATATTAACAAAATATAATAAAAAATAACATGCAAAGCTTTTTCTTGAACAAACACAAATACTCAGGAGAATGAAAGTGTCATAAAAAATTATATGCCTCATAAAATGTAAAAAATTGTTTCAAAACCTAATTCATAAAAACGCAACAAATTATAGAAAAATCGAGAAAATTGCCATATTAAGGCAAAGTTGTCATAAAAAGAGAACCGACATAAAACCTGAAAAAATTGTCACAACATGCAAATGTTGATCAGAAAAAAAAATAGAAGAACCATCAGAGCTAGAAGAAGCAAATACTGCGCTGTATTAACTGATGAGCTAATTAAGCATGTAGAGTGTATTAAACTATTAAAGGAAGGAAGAGAATTAGTGAGACACAGGCATCGGTGAAAATATAATACATATAGTTAATTCATGACAATTTTCTGTCAGGTTTCTGCAGGAGACGACGGCCAATTGGCTGAGGAGGTTTGCGGGCTCAGGTGTTCCCGTTGGACCAATCAACAGCATTCAGGAGGTGTTCTCTGATCCACAGGTGAGTTGACAAGCATCAGCCATAGTTCTTTATTTTGTTACGTTTTTGTCTCATTTTTGTTGTGAAAAATAAATTGTGAACAAATCTGTTGTATAAAGGTTTTGGTTTTATTTATTCTTAGTCACTTAATCATGAAAAGTAGGTCAGCTATTATTTTTCATAAGTGTTTTGGTTTTATTTTACTCATTTTTGCTGTGATAAACAGGTTGTATTACAAGTAATACCTGTAATACAACTTTAGTTGTTTTTTTTTACTATAATTTTCAATGTAAAAACTGACTAACCAAATTTTTGGATTTTTGGTCACAATTGTTTTTGATGTGGAAAAAATTTTGAGTAATAAATGGTTTAACAACTTACAGTCACTGTTAGAAATGCCCGGGACTGTTGACAGGAAGTCAGCGTGATGAACATTCAAAATAAAACCTATAAAATCCCCTCCCCTCACAGTGAAGATATCTCTCTAACTTTGGTTTTTAACCTATTCAGGTCAGAAAACAGCCAGTCCATGCAGCCAAATCTACAAAAAATCCAATATTGTTTTTTGTTTTTTTTATCATGTATATAAATCAGTGCAAGCAATGTACAGTGTGAGAAGACAAGTCACAGCTTCAGACGTAGTGTGCGTAAACACTGTGCAAGATGAATGAGAAAAGCAGTGTCTGCCTGGCTTTACACATCAGTATTTGTTTGTCTGCAGGTGAAACACAACGGCCTCATCCAAGAAATAAACCATCCGACATCAGGACGTATCTCTATACCCGGTCAGCACATGCACACACACACATGTCCTGCTTGATTTGACAGAGTTCAGTGTTTTATTCACTCACAGGAAGCTGTTTGTCCTCCACCGTATAGTCACAGTCTAATTTGTCTTCTAAGCCAGAAGCAGGAAAACATTCATAATTTACCAGTTGACTCGGTGTTGGTGTTTTCTAGGCAAAAACTGTCAAATCATGAAACTTGTGAGCTAATCAGTGACCACTGAGCTGTGGGCCGCGGCCTCGTTCCTCCGATCCCTGTCTCACCCAGCGGGGTGGGCTAAGTGACAGCGCTTGGTTTCCGTTGAATGTAGATAACAAATTAGTTAAAATTTAGCTAATAATGATGATGATGATGATGTTAAATAATCCTTCCAAACTTCATTCTTTGCTTACTTTCTTTTTTGATTTCTTCTTTCCTTTGTGAAACTTTTATCCCACACTCACTAACAATACACAGAGTTTTTATCTATTAGATGAATAACCGCTTTTTTGTTTTTCATTTTACCATCAGGTCCAGCCGTTCGTTTCAGTAGCTTCTCCCTCAGCTCACCGACTCCACCTCCTCTGATTGGTCAGCACACGGTGCAGGTGCTGCGTCACACCTTGACTTACACTGAAGATGTCATCAAGGTGCTGCTGGAGTCAGGGGTGGTGGCCCAGAATGATGTATCCTGATTCCAATGATAAAAAGATTTTAGCTGAATAAATAACAAATAAAAAAATGGTTGTTTTAAGGAAAGGCAGAAGGAAGGATGAAAAGGAGGGAAGAAAGCAGGAACAATGGGAAAAGGAAGGAAGGAAGTAACCAAGAAATGAAGTAATGAAGGAAAAAGAAAAATGACCAAAGAAGGAAGGAAGTCTGACAAGTTATTACCCTATAAAGAGTATAGATTTTTTTTTTTTATTTCACTTCATTAACAAATAAAACTAGAGAATTGCATTTTCTGAAGAAAATGCGTATGGATGCTGGGTGCTGAAAAATTGCCCTGAAAATGCTGAACATTTTGACACCTGAATGGTTTTGCTAGCTGAAATTATGGTGAATTAGAATTTCCCTATTCATTTGAATGGAGCAAGATTTTGAGGTTCTGTTTAGGAGGGACCAGGATGGACAGGATTAGGAATGAGCACATCAGAGGGACAGCTGAGGTCGGCTATTTTGGGGACAGGGTCAGAGAGGCCAGATTGAGATGGTTTGGACACAAGCACACCCAGTGTACACCAAGCACAATCAGTACACATAATGTATTACAGTGCCTTGCGAAAGTATTTGGCCCCCTTGAACTTTGCGACCTTTTGCCACATTTCAGGCTTCAAACATAAAGATATAAAACTGTAATTTTTTGTGAAGAATCAACAACAAGTGGGACACAATCATGAAGTGGAACGAAATTTATTGGATATTTCAAACGTTTTTAACAAAT